GATATTTTTTCGTGGCTTTAATTCTAGTTGCGTCTATCATAAAATACAGGGAGATCATAGAGTTCTGTATTGCTCCAAGACCAAGGAAGAAGCAGGGAGTGTGGTTTGCATCAGCTGCAGACCCTTTTGGGTCTAAAGAAGCGGAGAATCCATTTTCTCCCGTGCACTGCTGTGCAGTGAGATCTCTTTACCATCTTATCTAAGCAAGCCCCTCACTATTTTACCTTTTTTTAAAAAAATTTCTTTTTCTTTTCTTTCTCCCAAAGTAACATCACAATTACTCATTAATTGTGTGTGGTGAGAGCCTTTTAACCTTGAGAAATGGACCTTGGTCTGTTCCACTCTTAAGTCCTCCAGGTGTCTCCATGACTTCTTTCAGAGATTGACCGAGTCAGTGTGTTCAACCGGAGTTTGTTGTCTTTGAAGGAACACTGGAGCACATTTGAAAATTTTTAAATTGTGACTTAAAACACCATTGAAATTTTTGCTTTAAGTTCGAGGATTGTACTTATCTAGAGAATTTAAAACAGACACACATTTGTCTGATTAACAAAGAAGGTCACATATTTCCTGGAACCTAACATTTATTGGAACTATTATCACCTTGGTGGTAATAGAGTGGGGAGTCTGCCAGGGGTCAAGCCATGGTCAGAGAAAGTCAGACTTTGTCATGGAACTATTTTAGCTGGGAGAGCCCCCACGAAGCCCCAGAAGCCATTGGTGTTCACTCTAGAAACGCTGGGCCCCAGTGGGGCTCACTGTATTAAGAGTGAGTCTACTTTTACTAACATGTGCATACTTTCCTCCTGCCCCCAATAATTTCAGCATCACTTTTTAAAGAGAAACAATAGTCAGTGTGTGTATTTTTAAATAGAATTTTTAAAAATTTGACTTTTTTAAAAAAAAGATTCTATTTATTTGACTGAGAGAGAGAGAGAGCGCACAAGCAGGGGGGAGGGGCAGAGGGAGAGGGAGAAGCAGACTCCCCGCAGATCAGGGAGCCCAATGGAGGGCTTGATCCCAGGACCCTGGAATCATGACCTGAGCCGAAGGCAGCCACTTAACCAACTGAGCCACCCAGGTGCTCCTAAAATTTGGGTCTTTTAAAGTAATTTTTTACAACTAAAAAAAATCACAGCGCTAATCAAGGAGCAATGCAAATATTTTATTTTTCTTCCCAGAGAACAGGATTCTCTAAAACTGTTAAGCTGGGAGCAGAGGAGCCTGGAATATTCTTTCAGTTGGACTTCATGTCACCCGTTCGCAGAATCTGTCCTCAGGCAGAAGTATCAGCCAGTCTTCCCTGACGGGTGCTCTAGGTATAAACTATCACTGTGCTGAGCACGGAGAGTCCCATTGTGAGCAAGGTGGACCAAGTCTTTTCCTTCATAGAATCTATGCTGGAAATAGCTGATAAGCCAATGACCAAACAAATGATACAAAGATCAAACAATGACAATAACTAGAAGGGAAAGAAGAGCCTGAGGGGGTAGTGTGTGACCTGGACTGGAAGGCCCAGGATTGAGGATATCCACGGCTCCTGTCCCTGAGGTGCTGGTGGGGTTGAGATCTCTGCGATCAGAAGGCTCGGGATCTGGGAGAACAGCCCTTCAGGTGGCGGGAACAGTTACTACACAGGGGAGACGAGCTTGGTGTGTCCAGGTGACGGGGAAAAGTCCAGTGGGGATCTGAGTGGGCAGGTGGGGAGAGAGTGGTGCAGACCGGGCGGGGAGGAAGCAGGCACCGGTCGCCTGGGGCCCTTGGGGAGGAGGTCGGAGGCAAGAACGCCCCAAAATCATCTGATTTTCATTTTGCTGCTGGACGAGCCTCGGTTCTAGAGTTAATGAAGGGCGTCGGGGGACCTGTGAGGAGTGTGCAGGAGTCTGAGACAGCATCGATTATGACTTTCTCTAGAAGATGGCTGTGAGGGCTGAGAGAAGCAGAGACATTGTGGTCTGACAATGAAATGCCAGGCACCTCACCATTCCGCCGCTGTGCTAGCCACACGCGGCTGTTTAGGTTTAAATGCGAATTAATGAAAAGCGAAAATTCAGTTCCTCCTCACATTAGCCACATTTCGAGCCCTCAGGAGCCATTGCCAAGTTGCTGCTGTGTTGGGGCAGTGTGGAACATTCCATCATTGCAGAGAGTTCCATTCAGCCGGGTGCTTCAGAGCTAGGGGCCTATGACCCATTCTTTCCAAATTCCTTGTTTGTTCTTTCCAAATGCTTTATTCCTGTCCTGGAAGGGCATCTAGGCCACCTTAAACTTCATTTAATGCCCATTCTGTTAGGAGCTGAGAGTGGAGGGACATTTTGTCCTGAAGAAGTTCACAGCTTTCCAGAATTAACCAAGGCCACCGAAGGTATAACCCTGGGTTCAGGGAAAGTTAGAGGGGATGTGCAAGGCACGATGCCCACATACTGGGGCATCATCTGGGTGGGCCAGGAGGCAGAGTTCGTATGGGAGTGGATCATTTGGGGGAGAAAAGAATAACTGGACTAGATCATGCTGTGTTCAGAATTAAGGTAGCAATTAGGAGAAAAATCCTATCAACTTTGATCAGCAACTAGGAGCGAAAATTTGGGATCTTGTCTGTCCGTCACAGTGCAGTCTGTGGAGATATGAGTATTCCCTAGTAGGAGTGAGACCTCACACGAATGTGGGATGAGCCAAGAAAGTGAAAGTTGGAGAGGGGCCAGGGAATCAAAGGCAGACACACTAAGATCCCTGCCAAGCTGGTCAAGCCGGCCCCGGGGCCCCTCAGAAGCAAGTCTAGCTGCCAGAGTAGTACTTTGGGGAGCTCACTAGGAGGTCTTTGGGACTATTGCCCAGGGAGGCTACTGCACGATTGGTTGGCAGGGCAGCATTTAGGAAGATGAGCCGGACACGGAGCAGAGGAGCGAGGACAGGCTGAACCTGCAGGTGCTCCTGTGGGTCTGTCAGCCGTGTGTCTGAGATAACCCCCCCAGGAGCAATGGCCTCCGCTTCCCTTCCACATGCCCAGTCTCAAACAGGGTCCTTTTTTGACCAACTCTAACCCAAAACCCTCTGGCAAAGGGGATTCAGGGAAACGGTTCCCAGCTTTCCAGATGGACATGCCCAATTCAGCACAAGGGATGTGAGGGACGGTCCCTTGGATCCTCTGAAAGGGAATTTCAGGCGAGAGGGGATCAGGCCTCCACTTCGTCTACCTGGTCATTCGGTCGGGAGTGGGCGTGGCTTTGGTCAGGACACCTGTGAAGCCCAGGACGCTCATAGTCCTCCCGCTGCTCTCCCTCTGAACCTGTCTCCTCCTCAGCCTCGAAAGTGAAGTGCTGCTCTTCTCTACTACTGCAAAAACAAGGCCCCGGCAGATCTTCAGCTGATAAGGACCTGGTAAAGCTGTCATTGCCCATGCCCGGGAGGAAGGATCGAGAGAGCATATCCCGTGGTAAAAACAAGAGTAAAATAGTTCTGAGAACCGTGAAACTGTCATCCTTTCTCTAAATGACTTAATTCAACAGACGGATGGTTTTCAATCACTGGCCTCCTTTGTAGGCATGTGAGCACCATGATCTTTTTTATGTTAGTGTGAGAAGCCTGATGCTCCCTGGGCTCTGTCCCCGGTGCCAGCCACCGTGCTGACCGCCAGCCAGCACTGCTTCCTCCACCGTCCCCAGTCACCTGCCTGACGTCCGGCAGCCAGGAAGTAGCAGGACTAAGATGGGAACCCGGGGAGGAAATCCAGAGGGAGGGAGAATAAAGGGGACACCTGGAGGCTGAAAAATACCCAGAGTGAGCAGCTGAGTCACTCTAGGTGAGCGGCTGCATCTGGGTCATGAAGCGTGCAGGAGTCAGGGCTCAGCAGGTGACCCCATGGCTGAGGTGTCCAGGGTGTCCATATCCAGGGCGGCCACTGTGGATAGCAATTTATTTACTTCTCCCTCCTTCCATTCTCCCTTTATTCCTTCCTTCCTTCCTTCATCTCCCGTATATTCATTCTGTGTGTTTGTGTGTGTGTGTGTGTGATCTCCCCTCCTCCCTGCCTTTCTTTGTAATAGAATGTTCCACTTACTCAGCCACGTGTTAAGTCCTTCCCTGTGAGCAACCCCTAGGCCAGGCAGGGGGGCTGTGTAGACACACCCAAACGTGGTCCCTATTCTTTAGGCGTTTCTCTCCTCTCAGTTTTAATTTTTTTTTTTAAGATTTTATTTATTTATCAGAGAGAGAGAGAGAGAGGCACGCAGAGGGAGAAGCAAGGCTCCTTGCTCAGCAAGGGGACTCGATGTGGGACTCGATCCCAGGACCCTGGGATCATGACCTGAGCCGAAGGCAGACACTTAACTGACTGAGCCACCCAGGCGTCCTTCTCCTCTCAGTTTTATAGGGGAGGGAACTTCTACTCACAGAAATGGTCTTTGCAGCATGTGGGATCATGTCTGCTCCTGGGAGCAAGTGTAGCCTTCCCACCATGTTTGAGGATGGCTCCTGGGGCCTGGGTTCCCGAGCTGCTGCAGATCTTGTGTTCATCCCATGCATGCAGACGACATAGTTGAACCCTGCCTCTGGGAGGGGGAGCGAAGAACTAGAGCTTATCTCCTTGGGCCACAGCTCAGCAGTTCTCCTCTGTGGACAGAGAAGTCAGGGAGGGCCTGGCATACGGAGGCAGCAGTCCCCCAGGACCCGGGACAACATTCCGAAACCCGGCGAAACTGCCACAGTGCTGTCCGGTACTGTCCAATACCGACCAGGCAGAAGCACCAAACGTGTATTGTCCTGAAGCAGGAACGGGTGTCTGGGGCAACGTTTTGTTTTTCCTGCCCTCCAGCCCCGGCCCGACTCAGCCAGTCATCTCAGCAGGGTGTGGGAGCTGAGGCTGGTGTGGGCCTGGGGCTTGAGCACATCTTCGTGAGGGCGCTTCCTGTCTCTGCCGCTGCTGGCCCCGAGCGTCAGACCCCCCCAGGGCTGTCGGTGCAGCTGGGCTTGATGGTTTTCTCTCTCTCTCACTCTCTCTCCAGGGTCAGGTATGGATTAATGGCTTTAACCTGGGGCGATACTGGCCAGCGCGGGGCCCCCAGATGACTCTGTTTGTGCCACGGCACATCCTGGTGACCTCGGCCCCAAACACCATCATGGTGCTGGAACTGGAGCGCGCGCCCTGTGGCGACAACGGCCCGGAGCTGTGCACTGTGGAGTTTGTGGACAGGCCAGTTATCAGTGCCACCCCGACCCCCAGTCATCCCCCTCTAGACCTGCCTTATCAACACTGGGGACTGGACTATGTCTGATAGCTAACCACTGTGACCCTTTGGAGTTTCTTCGGCCTTACACATACCTCACATACCCCCGGGTAATGCCAACATTCACTGGAAAGTTCGACTGGAAAATAGATCTAGCATGTGCATTTTCTCCAGAGGTTTCCGGGCAGCCTCGTGGTGCCCAGCCCTCCACCGGCAGGGACCACCGTGAATGCATGATGAGCGTGGTGGCACAGGAAGGCACGATGCATCTGCCCGGTTGGAATGAAAGCTTTAAAGGTGTTCCTGATTTTTATTTCAGTGGAATCATGTTATCTTTTTGTGAAATAAAATTTGTATTCAAGTGATGTTACTGTTTTTCATGTTGAGTGGGTATTAAATTATAAGTTCTGATTTAAATCATAACTAGACTTGAGTGGGTCGAATAAGCCACTTCACTAACTTGCGGTTCAAAGGAATGGAAAATCGTCTTGGTTTGATCTAGTGGACTACTGCTTCTCTGATCCTCATTTGACTTCCTTTTGTGTTTCTGTGATGTCTATTAGGTGGCCCATAAATGCAATTCAAAACCGTTACGCAAACCACCTAAATGATCAGCCGTGGAGAGTGTACATAACGTGGCACCTCTGCACGGTGGGATGCCACGTAACCACGAAAATGCTGATGTAGATCTGTAGATGAAAACACTTTTGTGATCTGCTATGTGGAAAAAGCAGATTACCTTAAATTTGGTCCCGTTTGGTGTGTTTAGACATCAGAACTGCACGTATCCACGCAACACAGGCCTGAACGCACGTCGGTGGACACGCATACACGTGGGTGTGTGTGCATACACGGATACACGGGGACGTGGCATCGCAGAATATGCGTGTCCTGCCATGGGGCTGTAGCTCTCATTTGTAGAGCACTTGTCCTACACCATGCCCAGTTCCAAGCATATCATAGATTTCATTCACTCATCCCTCGAGAGAACTGAGGAAAGTACTAGCGTCTTCCCCGATTTACCCAGCCACACAGCTGTAAGTGGTAGAGACAGCATTGGAAGCCAAGCCACTTTGGTGCGAGTGTCCAGGCACACACTGCACAGATAATAGATCAATACATGCTTATGTTCCCACGGGAAAGGATTGGAACGACGTAAACCAAAATGTTACTTGATCGTATCTGGGTGGTAAGGATTTGAGAGAGAGTTTACTTTTTCTTTATTGCTCACCCAAGTTTTAAATCCTTTACAGAAAAGATGTAAAAGTTTTTGAAGGAGGAAGAAAGGAGAGATTTTTGATGCTAATCTACAACATGTTTTCACGATCGAATCATTTTCCCTGTCTCGTAGACATCAATAATGAATATGTGAGACTCACCAGGGAGTACCAGAGCTCTGGCTGAGCCAGCTGCAGGAGACATCTCTGGGTTGAGACAAACTGAGACTAGAACTTTATTTAGGACCATATTCCGTAGCATCTTTGTCTAGATGTCCTGCACTCGATGTTTGAGGCTTGCTGCAGGGTGAAGGAGGTGCTGTGTGGACTCATGTTCTTATTACTCCTCCTTTCACTGCTGGTTACCAAAAACTTATAGAATGATACTCCAGGACTGTGCCCAGTTATAAGCTTTAGAAAGAAATGTGAGACAGTTCCTTGCAAGGCATTATGTGTGTTGGTAATTGCACCTGCACTGTTCCAGACACTCCCTGTTGAGACTCCAGAAGACTCAGGCAGTGGAGCGGGGTCTCCTCCAGAGAACATGTGCTTGCATAAAAAATAAATAGCTTTATTGGGGGCGCCTGGGTGGCTCAGTCATTGAGCATCTGCCTTCGGCTCAGGTCATGATCCCAGGGTCCTGGGATGGAGCCCTGCGTCCGACTCCCTGCTCCGCAGGAAGCCTGCTTCTCCCTCTGCCCCTACCCCCGTGCGCGCACACGTGCTCTCTCTCTCTCATTCAGATAAATAAAATCTTAAATAAATAAATAATAGCTTTATTTTTTTTTTTTTTAAAGATTTTATTTATTTAT